GCAGTACTCCCATTATTTATAAATTAACACTCCCTTTAAAATGTTTGCCTTTTGTATATGAGAACATCAGCACACTTTATCATATTTTTTCCCTTTTGTGTGTTAGGACACAAGTAAGACAACTTCTCTAATTGTAACTCATAATTGATTAGAAAGTTTTAGTATCAATTATGAATCTATTAAAGTTGGAACAGCTCTGTTCAGGTTGAGAACTAGAAATTCAAGACATTTCTGAAGAAATATTTAACTTTTTCATTCAACATAGATGGAATGTTGAAAGCTTCACTAAATGTTTTTATTTTCCTTTTTTAAGGGACTCCAGGTTTAAAGTTTTACTGACCATAAATAAATATTTGACCGCTTGCTACATGTTCATATTCTTGGATAGGGACATTACAAATGAAATTGGTTGTGGTCCTCAATGCTGTTATAGTATCAAGATGTTAACAAGTTAGAATACTGTGATATAGGATAATTTCCCCTGCCATTTATTCCCACCCTCCCTCCCTCCCCAACATGGTTCATTCTTAGAAGGAATGAGTTGTGTTATTTCTTCAGTTTTCTAGCATGCTTTACTTAATACTTGGTTAACTCTTGAATGCTTATTTGAGTAGCATATAGTATTGCCTAAGTCAATATTTGGGTTTTCCTTATGCTTTTTGATTAATGGAATTGTAGCAGGATTAATAAATGTTTAAAACATAAGTATATATGATGATCAAATATGTTGAAAATTTTTCACAGAAGCAGTTATGCTATTACAACTTGGGAAAGGAATCTGTTTGATGTAGAATTCTTGGGTTGAAACTTTCAGTTAGGGCCAGGGTTTTTACTCTTGTTCTGTAAAAGACATAGCAACCACCAAAGTGACTATGGTATTGTCCTAAGGACAAATAATACACAGTTCCTACACTTTTTTTAACATTAAAAAAAAAAGTCTAAAATGGCTGTGTAGAAGTAGTGTGTAGGTTGTAGACAAACCACTTTTGAGGTTTTCTTCACCTTTTACCTTGGGTGTATCTATTTCAGTCACTCAGTTCAGTTACTCAGTTGTCTCCAGCTCTTTGCGACCCTATGGACTGCAGCACGCCAGGCTTCCCTGTCCATCACCAACTCCTGGAGCTTGCTCAAACTCATGTCTGTAGAGTTGGTGATGCCATCCAACCATCTCATCCTCTGTCGTCCCATTCACCTCCCATCTTCAATCTTTTTCAGCAACAGTGTCTTTTCTAAGGAATCAGTTCTTCACATCAGGTGGCCAGAGTGTTGGAACTTCAGCATCAGTCCTTCCAATGAACAGTCAGGATTGATCTCCTTTAGGATGAACTGGTTGGCTCTCCTTGCAGTCCAAGGGACTCTCAAGAGTCTTCTCCAACACCACGGTTCAAAAGCATCAATTCTTTGCCGTTCAACTTTCTTTATAGTTCAATTCTCACATCCATACGTGACTACTGGAAAAACCATAGCTTTGACTAGATGGACCTTTGTTGGCAAAGTCATGTCTCTGCTTTTTAATATGTCCAGATTGGTCATAGCTTTTCTTCCAAGGAGCAAGCATCTTTGAATATCATGGCCGCATTCACCATCTGCAGTGATTTTGGAGCCCAAGAAAGTAAAGTCTCGCTGTTTCCATTGTTTCCCCATCTATTTACCATGAAGTGATGGGATCGGATGCCATGTTCTTAGTTTTTTGAGTGTTAAGTTTTAAGCCAGCTTTTTCACTTCTCCTCTTTCACTTTGTTCAAGAGGCTCTTTAGGTCCTCTCGCTTTCTCTCATAAGGGTGGTATCATCTGCATATCTGAGGTTATTGATATTTCTCCCGGTGATCTTGATTCTGTTTTGTGCTTCAGCCTGGCATTTCACATGATGTACTCTGCGTATAAGTTAAATAAGCAGGGCGACAGTATAAAGCCTTGGCATACTCCTTTCCCAATTTGGAATCAGTCTGTTGTTCCACGTCAGGTCCTAACTGTTGCGTCTTGACGTGCATACAGACTTTGCAGGAGGCAGGTAAGGTGGTCTGGTATTCTGTTTCTTGAAGAATTTTCCACAGTTCGTTGTGATCCACACAGTCAAAGGTTTTGGCATAGTCAATAAATCAGAAGTAGATGTTTTTTTCTGGAATTTTTTTGCTTTTTCTATGATCCAACGGATGTTGGCAGTTTGATCTCTGGTTCCTCTGCCTTTTCTAAATCCAGCTTGAACATCTGGAAGTTCTCGGTTCATGTACTGTTGAAGCCTGGCTTGGAGAATTTTGAGCATTTGCCAGCATGTGAAACGAGTTGCAGTTGTGCAGTGTTTTGAGCATTTTTTTGGGATTCGAATGAAAACTGACCTTTTCCAGTCCTGTGGCCACTGTTAAGTTTTCCACATTTGCTGGCGTATTGAACGCAGCACTTTCACAGCATCATCTTACAGGAATTGAAATAGCTCAGCTGGAATTCCATCACCTCCAGTAACTTTGTTCGTAGTCATGCTTCTTAAGGCCCACTTGACTTCGCATTCCAGGATATCTGGCTCTAGATGAATGATCACACCATCGTGGTTATCTGGACCATTAAGACCTTTTTTATATAGTTCTGTGTATTCTTGCCACCTCTTCTTAATATCTTCTGTTCTGTTAGGTCCATATCATTTCTGTCCTTTATTGTGCCCATCTTTCCATGAAATGTTCTCTTGGTATCTCTAATTTTCTTGAAGAGCTCCCTAGTCTCCCTTTCTATTGTTTTCCTCTCTTTGCAGTGATCACTGAAGCAGGTTTCCCTATCTCTCCTTACTATTCTTTGGAACTCTGCATTGAGATGGGTATATCTTTCTTTTTCTCTTTTGCCTTTCGCTTCTCTTCTTTTCTCAGCTATTTGTAAGGCCTCCTCAGACAACCTTTTTGCATTTCTTTTTCTTGGGGATGGTTTTGATCACCGCCTCCTATATAACGTCAAGAACCTCCCTTCATAGTTCTTCAGGCACTCTGTCTATGAGATCTAATCCCTTGAATCTATTTGTCACTTCCACTGTATAATTGTAAGGGATTCGATTTAGGTCATGCCTGAATGATCTAGTGGTTTTCCCTACTTTCTTCAATTTAAATCTGAATTTTGCAGTAAGGAGTTCATGATCTGAGCCACAGTTAGCTCCCGGTCTTATTTTTGCGTATAGAGCGTCTCCATCTTTGGCTGCAGAGAATATAATCAGTGATTTCTGTATTGACCATCTGGTGATGTCCATGTGCAGAGTTGTTTCTTGTGTTGTTGGAAGAGGGTGTTTGCTATGACCAGTGCGTTAGGCATTAGCCGTCTTTAAACTTTTATTTCCACATCCTGTTTTTTTTCCTTTATAGTAGTTCTTCCTGAGTTTCCTTTGGTATATTAGGTTTGTTTTTTTTTTTTTTTTTTTTGTGGCCTCTCTGAATGGCATGTGGGATCTTAGTTCCCTGACCAGGGATTGAATCTGTACCCCCTGGACTGCTGGGGAAGTTCCTAGGGCATTTGGTTTTGAATCTAGTTCATATGTTTTGGGAACCTAACTGATACATTTTGTATTGTGATATCACTGAGTTCCATTGTAAAAAGATACTTTAATAGTTATTGATATATTAAATCTTTTGACTTGTTAGCTGAATAACTTTCTGATTGCTTGCATCATGCTAAAATGTACTTGTTGCCATAGCAATGAAAAGGTTTAGTGGAATACAAGCAATATTACCTGGTATCCCTGAGCATTTGGGAAGAGTTATGAAAGGAGGACTGATTTCAGGCCAGTTAAAGTTTATAAAATTGAAGAATCATGAGCTGTGTCAACTTGACATGCTTATAGTTATATTTCTTAGTATTCTAAGCCTCATCACAATATAGTTTTTCCATGTGACTTATGAAGGAAGCATAAAAAATTATTTAGAATGTACCTATCACACTCATAATCTGTAAAACTTTTATCAATAGCAAATAGTCATCTTTGGAATTATTTTTCTTCAGTTTTTATAAGTAGAGCTAATTATTTCTGGAAAATTTAAATGGGTGGTACAATTAACTAGGCATAATCCTTTACAGAAAAGATAAGTACTATGAACAAAAGCAAACTCAAAACGTTTTGAGTGAATAGTGATTGCAAAAATAAAAAAAAAAAAGAAAGAGGAAGACTTGAAACCTAATAACCCATGGTTTTTTAAATAAAGAGGTCATTTTAGATTAAACGTTCATTGCTTTAGGGTTGTTTGAAAATATTTTGATACTGGAAAACTAATGAGATTCACTTTTCTAGTATGGTGTTCACAGTATCACTATATGTGTCATAAAAATTTGAGTACTAGTAGTTGTAAGATCTGGGACAGATGAACCCACCTGGTTTCAACTTCTTCAGTTTATTCAAGAATATAGCTGAAAATTGAGGCAAAAGGATTATGTTGTGTCCTCTTCCTGTGGGCCATGCTAAGATTATAGAATTAAGTAAGTAAATATAGCCCTCTAGTGGTTCTGTTATATACTTACACTGTTAACTTTGGTGTGTCTTATCATTTTTCTAAAGATACTGATTTTTAGGAATTTCACTTTTGAGTAAAATCAGATTTTTATAATATATGGCATAAAAATTACAAACAGAAAATATGGTAGGGATATCTTATTCTAACAATAAATGTTCATATTAGATTATCATCCACTTATGTAACACACTTTTGGAGTTAAGATAATCCAGAATATTAGAAATGCTCTAAGTTTATGAGATGGATCATTCACTCTAGATACTTTGCTGGTATATGCTATGATTATTAACCAGATAACAACTGGTGCATATCAAAATGAAGGGTAAATGAACTGAGGTGGATTATGAAGTAGATCATGCTATATCTGTGCTTTGAAATATATAGTTATTAATAACATAGATTTAGGTTTCTTGACCTGGAATTTATGGTATAGCTTTAGGGGAAAACAAATTGCAGAATTATTTTGTATATATGTAACTCCCCATTTTTTGAAAAGAATGGGGGAAAAAAGTGGAGGAAACCTTAAATAGTTCTATAAATAAATGTTTCTTTAAGCAAAGAAAAAGAATATACACAAAACTATTATTATCATCAGGAGAGTGAAATTTGGAAGGTAGGAGGGAGATTACTTCTTTATCTCTAATGATTTAAATTGTTGTGAACAACCAAAAGGATCTGAAATGGAAACTTGAAAATCAACAGAAAATAGTCACCTTACCCTGTGTAGTTGTAGAGGACTAATGCTGACTCTTAATTTCCAGCAGAAATTAGTTAATTCAGGTTCTGATCTAATTTTCTGAGTTTGTTTATTGTTTAAATGGGATGTGTGCACTTGATAATCTCCTTGGATATAAAGCTGATGCCCAAATTGGTTAAAATGTATGTTGTTTGGTATTTCCCTTTATTTTGCTAGTAAGCTTTTCCCTTCTTCTGGGGATTAAAATCCTTTCTTCTTTAGCCCAGTTAGATTTGTTAAAGGAGAGCCTCTATGAAAAGGCCCTTCTTTGAGGTCTTTAAGTGGAAATGGAAATGATTGGTTCTGAAAATTTTTCTCTCACTGGCTTTTGAAACATTTCGTAGATATTGAAAGCTCATTATAAAGGATGTCTCAGTATTTTCACTCCAAAATGCTAAGGAATAATTTAGCCAACAGCTCAGACTTGAAAAATGAAAACGGCTCTGTCTTTTCACAGACTGAACACAGCATTGTTGCAGCTTACTTGATTACCGCAGGTATGGATGTTCACTCCATTAATGGTTATTTTGCTTTTGAATGAGTGAAGAAAAGCTGAGGTTTTTAGCATAAGGTAGTAGAAGCAGCATGGGTTCAGAGATACTGTTTCAAGTTCTGTACTGTTGGCCAACCTGGACAAGTCACTTACCCTTTCTCAGTTGTTGTGCTCATGTGATAAATAAGGATAATACTTGCTCTTCTTCCTGGCTGTAAGGATCAAATAAGAAAAAGTAGGTGAAAGGATAAATGGAAATGTTGTTAATGGTGGTTAATCTAACAAGTTATTTTGAATTTTGATAGTGAGATGGGGCTGAGAAAAGTTTTCTAGAAAACAGTCATCTGTATGTTTGGTTATTATATTGTCAAATGAATTTTTATTGGGGGAGAATGTGCACTGTGGCAAAAATGTATTTTTATGGCATTTACTATTCTCATACATACTTGTTTTGTCATCGGTGGTGGAATCTAGTTCAGATTGAAAGATCCTGGAAAAATTAGTTGTAAAGAGAGCAGACTGTGTTATCATTGAGGACTGAGTTTGACGATTGAGCTCATTTTTGAATGCTGTATTGGAAAAACTGAAATTTGGTTTTCATTTTTTAGTCTCTTTGTAGCAGTGAGCAGGTTCCTTTATCTTTTTGTTCTTCCATTTTCATATCTATAAAATGGGGATAAGAATAAGCTAACAGCTGGGATTGTTGTGAAAAGTAAAAAAAAAATGCACAGACATACATAAATGATATATACAGTATATGTTGGGCAAATACTAATGAATTTTAGAAGTAACTTTTTTATTATTTTTTGGATTGACTTATGAAAAATTTCAAGTATATTCAAAAGCAGAGTAAAAGCATAGCAAATCCTGCTATACCCAGTTTATTCTATAAAGAATAAAGTAACTATAAGTTACTATAAGTAACTATAAAGTTACTTAATTTCCCCATTATTCACAATTAGAGTATCACTTCTCTGCTAGAAAGTGTGGTTCCTCAGTTAATTTTCGTAAATTTTAGTACATGCTAATAACTCTTTCATTTGAATACCTCTGTATGATAAGCCCTGGGTGAGTTCTCTTTTCTTTTTTTTCAGTGTTGCAACAAAAAGGAGAAAACAATATGCCACTTAATGAGATAATCTCCTTGTCACAACTACTTAGGAATACTTTGTATACAAACTTTTGGTTTAGTTAGTTTTTGGTAGATGACCAAGAAAAGCTATCTTTTTTAATCTGGTTACAAAAGAAGCATGCAAAGAAAATTTCCGGTTAAGAAAATGTTCTCTCTCGTTCTTATTCCTGTAACAACAACAATAGTAATAGTAGTCTTACTGTGACAATGATGACTCGGCTACTGCTGTTGCCACTACCACTAGTGGGAATACTTGGTACATACCAAGCACTGCTATAAGCACTTACCTGTACGGAATAATTCATCCTTGAACTAATTCAGTAAGTGAATTCGTTTTATTTTCTCCGTTTATACTGATAGATTTTAAGTAACTTTCCCAACACACACATCTACTAAGTAGCTACACCAGTATTGAACTCAGGTTCTTTGGCTCTAGAACCCTCATGTAAAATCACGAGGATCAGTTTTAATGTGTATATGTTGTATTTTTAGCAGGTGAACTGAAGTAAGCATATCTTAACCTCATTATGCTTTTGTTTAAATGTTTGTTGTTCTTTGGGCTCCCAAACCTCAACCTTTAACAAAACTCAATTAAACCAAAACTATGAGGAAAAAAATTTAGTCAAAGCATTTATTTCATTTGCTACTGTTACAAAAAGCCTATTTTTCATTTTGAATTTCATTTTTAATTTAATATTTCTCTTTGGATTTTAGCTGTTACAAACTTTTACCAACTTAAGCTCTCCCTTTTTCCAGTTTATGCTGGGGGTTAGAGGGCATGGTGAATTAAGGATCTGAAATAGATTCATTATGAGTGCATTATAGGATAAAGGGTGAGAGGTAATAGGCTGAGAGGATGACTGCAAAGCAGCTAATGAAGAACCTAAGCTGTGAAGGCAGTAGGGGCCACTAAACGACATGATCCAACATGCATTTTAGATACATGCTGTAATGGTAGCTAACAGGCCAGGTAGAGGCACCCTAGGTAGGAGGTATGGTAAAGGTTAAGAAGGCTTCTGAGGAAGAAGTAGTGGCAATGGCGATAGAAAGAGCTAGAATTTAGAGTCCGTGGTGGTTGGAGGTGGAGACTGGGGGAGAAGGTGAGGGAGCATCAAAGATGACAACTAGGTTTCATTTTTTGGACCACTGGATAAATGGTGAAGCTATTCATACCTGGAGAAGGACATGTTTGGGGCAGAAATGAAAATCTCTGGGTTTAGTTTGAGAGAAGTCCCATAAAAAGCTGGACACATGGGTTTGAATTTTATGAGATTGATCAGGAAAGTATCAGCATATAGCCTTGACTCTGAAATCACTGAGTGTATGTTGAATGTGTAAAGAAAGAGGTCTAGGACAGAAACTTGGACAATGTATATGTTTAATAAGGTAGAGATGAAGAAAGAAGGACCAGGAAGTAGATTGAGAAGGATCTCCCGAAGAGATTGGAGAAGAGCCACAGAAGCCAAAGGGAAGCTAAGTGAAAGTGTGTTAATCGCTCAGTCGTGTCTGACTGTTCACAACCCTTGGGCTGTAGCCCACTAGGGTGCTCTGTCAATGGAGTTCTTCAGGCAAGAATACTGGAGTGGGTTGCCATGCCCTTCTCCAGGGAATCTTCCCAACCCAGGAATCAAACCCGTGTCTCCTGTATTGCACGCAGATTCTTTACCTCTGAGCCACCAGGGAAGTCCCTAAGTTAGGTGAACTTAGACCTAACTACTAAATAATCTGTTGTCGACTGATTAGAAAACATGGGTTCCCATGGTCGCCCAGTCAGTAAAGAGTCCGCCTGCAGTGCAGGAGATGTGGGTTTGATCCCTGCGTCAGGAAGATTCCCCTGGGGAAGGGAATGGCTACCCACTCCAGTATTCCTGCCTGGAGAATCCCATGAAGAGAGGAGCTTGGTGGGCTATAGTCCATGGGGTCTCAAAGAGTCAGACATGACTGAGCAACTAACACTTTCACAGCCAGGAAACAGAGCAGAGTGCTTGAGACAGCTGCAGAGAAAATAAAAGGACTAACCTGTTTACTTCATTCCCCCCATTATATCTAAGACTACCCCATAAGTACAATTACTTTATTCTGGTTGCATACTTGGTAGGCAACAAATTTACTGTGTTTTTATCTGACTTTTGAAAAAATCAACAAATCTGTAACTAACCAGAAAGATTCTTCAGTTCACTAAACTTTTTGGAGCTACAATACTGGATGCAAAAATAATGAGCCAAAGAATCATCAAATTGGATACCATTGTGTCTTAGTTATGCTTGCAGAAATAATAGATATTAAGCAATATGAGTTTTAGTTGTTTAAATAAATCTGCTATATGTCACATACTCAACATAGAAGTCATTAGAAGCCTGTAATTTACACAGGAAGAGTAGGAATATATGAGTCGAATAATATAGCATCACATAAGATGAAGTATAATATAGACAAATACTGAAAATTTATTAGTGGTGAGAGGATGCTATGAGGAAGACACGCCTTTGAGGGCAGAATCAGGCTTAAACAGAATTTTGAAGGGTGGGTAGAATTTGGATAGGTAAAGGAGTAGAGTGTTCCAAATGGGAGAAATGAGAGTTGAAATTTACCACATGCCTGGTGTATCTGATAGATAATTAGATGGAGGGCTTATTTGACAAGTGTGAACATTTGCTTGAGAAGGTAAAAACAGTTCGAAGCAGAGACCTGAGTATCAGGCTGAGACATGTGAACTTTTATCCCACAGACATTGGTGAGTAAACTGAGAAGAGTCTTGGTTAATTCTATGTTGTAGCAAGCTTGTTCTGCCAGCAGCATGCAAGAGGAAAAGAAAGAACCTGGAAGATTAGTATAACAATGTTGAATGGAAGTTTTGACCAAGGTGCCAAATATATTAGAAGTTCTTCCTTAGCTGATACCTCTGTGTGTTGGTACTTGGAAATCTTCCCTCTCTCTGGCAATAGCTGGGTCTGCTCACCAGAGTTCTCTTCATGATGGTGAACACCCTCTGTTCCTTTTGTCCTTTACCCCCCGCTTTAGCCCCTTGGAGTCTGGTAATGGCTCTACCCTCTCTCAGTTGTTAGGACCTAGTATGGCTTATATCTGGCTGATGGGAAATTTATTCATCAGATGGGGGTGTTAAGCAGGCTAACATTCACGTCCAGTCTACTCAACGATATTTCTCATTGTAAATTAATACACTGGCATTCAGATTAAGAATTTCAGTCATCAGTCTACCTGAATCCAGCCAATTCTGAGGCACTGACATCCTTGAGTCTCTGGAGCTGCAGGGCTAAGAGTCAGATCCCAAACTGGAAACTTCACTAGGGTGATGTGGCCTGTGAGCTTTCTCAGGGGATCCGAGAGACAGCTTGACTTCCTCTCTAGCTAGCTAAACCTTGTGTGCATTCTTATTTAGGGATGTACATGTACGTGTGTGTGTAATCAGATTTGAGCATGTTACATTTTAAGTAATATTGAAACAGTCATATGATACTGTAGATGCTTAATAAATGTTTAATGGCAGTGAGTTGTATGAAAAGGGATGAGGGACTGGAGTGTATTTCAGGAATAGAAAATGACAAAAGTGCTGTTAGGATAGAATGATAGCTGATGCCTGAGAAACAGTAGAGAAAGAAGAGCCTCCATCTTTAAGAAGGAGGAGAGGAAATTAAGCTGCCAAAGGAGACTATATGGTCACACACACACACACGTATATATATTAATATCTGTATCCTAAAAATCAGCATTGGTGATATCGTGGGAGTCACTTCAAGGACAGAGTGATCAATAGTGATACCATTAAATGCCGGCCTTTGGTGCTGGTTTATACAAGTGGCAGATTCTTTGTGTTTTGATTTTTATGTTTCTATTTCACAAGAGGGCTGTGAAAATATTGCAACGAGTTTGAAGAATAGCTGGAGCTCTTCCTGTAAATGAACCAAAACCGATTTGTGAATTTGCTTTGTTTCTGACGGAATTTAAATATTTAATTTCTGTTTTACTTTTGCACATTCAAATTAAGCAAAGTGTGTGATTTTTTTTTTTTATGTTCTCAGGTATGATAAGTATTCTCAGCAACTTAATCGTTCTAGGCATCTTCATTAAGTTCAAGGAACTTCGGACACCCACAAATGTAATAATCATCAACCTGGCTGTTACCGATATAGGGGTCAGTAGCATTGGCTACCCCATGTCTGCTGCTTCAGATCTGCATGGAAGCTGGAAATTTGGATATGCAGGATGTCAGGTATCAGAGATCCTTAGAATCAAAGCAAAACGAACTAGATTAAGAATATGTAAGTTTAAGTGTCTTTACAAAATCAAATAGTTTTATGTAGCATAATAGATATGGTTCTCTTATTGAAAACAGCTTCAGGAGCGACTGGGAAATATATTCTTTAATAAGAGAAATGAAAGCAGTAGCCATCATCATATTCTCAAAATTTCCCCAACCTAAAGGAAAAAATTAAACTAGCAAAAAATTAGAAATCAGCTAGAGAAGAAAAGTGAACATTTGCATATCCAAATAAAAACTTGCATATTGCAAATTCCAAAAGAAATACTCTGCTTTCATTTGAAACAATAAATATTTAATGACTATATCATAATGTCTAAGTAATATAGTTAAACTACAAGTTGTTGATTTTTTCCTGTGGTATGGTAAGTTCGTTATGAGAATTGCTGGTAAATATATCTACTATAATTTTTACTGACAAGAAAATAAATTAATATAGTTTGCAGTAATAATGACTTTTGGCCCAGTTTTTTAGAACTGTTTGCTGTTTTAAGCTATATAGCTATAGAGAATAAAATGGAAATGGTAGAGAATAGTGAATACCCATTTATGCATCAATAGGTTTTGTTAAAATCTTGATGTTTCGCAATATGACCTTCAGGTTGTTTGGGGTTTCTTGCTTTTTGTTTTTGGTTGTGCTTCAGGGCTTGTAGGATCTTAGTTCCCCAACCAGGGATGGAACCCAGGCCCTGGCAGTGAAAGTGCAGAGTCCTAACCACTGGACCTCCAGGGAATTCTGTTCCCAATTTTTTAAAATCACAAACAAGGCTTCAGTAAATGTTCTCATACATGTCTCTTTCTGCAGTATATGAGAGTTTCTTTAGATACATTACTAGAAGAGGAATGGTTTGGTTGTGGATAGCACAACTTCAACTTTATCAGGTGTGGCCAAATTATTCTTCAAAATGGTTGTGGCCAATTACGAGAACTTCTGTTGCTCCACATTTTCGCCAGTGCTTGGGATGGTCCGACTTTTAAATCTGTAGTGTTAATGATGGATGTAAAATAGTATCTTATGAGTTGCGTTTCTTTCAATATTTGGTGTGCTTGTACATCTTATGTCATAGATGCTCTGGTTTCCCCTGTGTGAGCAGCCCTTTTTTCTGTTTGTCTTTTCCCCTTAGTGAATTGTTTGTCTTCTGAATACCAGGCTTTTGTTGGTTATATGTGCTGCTCTTGACTTATGATTTGTTTCTGCCCTCTGTAGAGTATGTATAGAAGTTTTATTTTAAGTCTTAGCTTTTTAAAAAAAGCTTATTTTAATTAATGAAGTCCCAGAATGTTTTCTATAAGTCCCTTTATTAAGCCACTTACAATTTGACAATAGATGCTGTATTTTAGGAGAAGGCAATGGCACCCCACTCCAGTACTCTTGCCTGGAAAATCCCACGGACAAAGGAGCCTGGTGGGCTTCAGTCCATGGGGTCGCTAAGAGTTGGACACCACTGAGCGACTTCACTTTCACTTTTCACTTTCATGCATTGGAGAAGGAAATGGCAACCCACTCCAGTGTTCTTGCCTGGAGAATCCCAGGGATGGGGGAGCCTGGTGGGCTGCCATCTATGGGGTCACACAGTGTCGGACACGACTGAAGTGACTTAGCAGCAGCAGCAGATGTATTTTAACATTAGTAAAATAGAAAATGGGGCTTCCCTGGTGGCTCCATGGTAAAGAATCTGCCTACAGTGCAGGAAACGCAGGTGCGATCCCTGGGTTGTGAAGATTCCCTGGAGGAGGAAATGGAACCTGCTCTAGCACTCTTGCCTGTGAAATCCCATGGACAGAGGAGTCAGGATACAAAGAATTGGACACGATTGAGCAACTGAACACACACACAAAATAGAAAATACTCAATGTATTTATTTACTGTTCAATGTATTTAAAATATATTTTAGCAATGGGATAAACGTATATATGTCTCTTGGGAGGGTGTGTAGAATGGTGGAATCGTTCCAATTTTGATTTTCAGATTTATGCTGGGTTGAATATTTTTTTTGGAATGGCAAGTATTGGATTGCTCACGGTCGTGGCTGTGGATCGATACCTGACCATCTGCCATCCTGATGCAGGTACAGCACTTTTCTCAGCTTTTTCAATGAACCCATTTGCCTAAGTTCTGCTTGTCACACCTTCACTTCAAATGTATTAATAAATGTAATGACTTGGGACATGGTCAGCTTTCTTTCTCTGATAATCCTTGATTGGAAATTTCAGTGGTTTTCTATTATACCTAGAATAAAACTCAAATTTCATAACACGGCCTCCAAGACCCTACGTGTTCTGACCTCTGACTACCTTTGCAGCATATCCTGGGATCTTGTCACTTTGGGGTTCTGGTGAAACCCTTTCCCAATTTGGGGTCTTTGCAAATGCTATTTCCTAGTGTTTCTCCCTGCCTCTCCTCTGATTCATCATTTTATCATTCAAGTTTCAGCTTAAATGTTATTTTTTTCCAGAATAGGAATTCATAGGTTTTGTGTGAACTAAAGTGCTCTGTAAAGAATCTACTTGGTGATAATTTTGAATAATCAGTTAAAACAAGGTAAAGATGTGAATCACATCATTGGGAAATGATTTAATATTCCATCTATTTGTTAATAGGAAGAAGAATGACCACTAACACTTACGTAAGCATGATTCTGGGGGCCTGGACCAATGGCCTGTTTTGGGCTTTGATGCCTATCATCGGGTGGGCTAGTTATGCCCCAGATCCTACTGGGGCCACCTGTACCATAAACTGGCGGAAAAATGATGTGTAAGAAATGTATATATAGTTTATAATTAAATGCTTCTAATGCAGACACGTTTTCACCATTTCAAATTTAACCTCAGATCTAATGTTTCTCATATAGAGTGTGGCAAAGGGTTTCCTTGGTTTAGATGATGTGATTCTGCCTAGAGACGAATTGAGAAAGATGAATTATGTTAAATTGCAAGGACAGGGCATCCCTTTGTCTCCCTGCTCTGTTCCCTCCTTTCTATCCTTTGGCAGCAAAGGGAATACAGAGCATCCTTCTGCTAGCCGCACCTTAGAGGTGGGACCTGAGGGGGAAAGGACTGTTGGTGGAGCTAGACAGTGTGCGGTTCTGGAGAAAGCCCAGGCTTTCTTTTCTGGTGATAAAGCATCTTCTGAGAATTACACAGCAGAAGCGCAGTCACTGCAAGGATTGCTTACTCATCAGTGATGCTCTTCTATGTTTACTAGGGAAAAGAAGGTAATTTAGTTCATTAAAGGAAGTGAAAGATTACTCAGAAAAGTAAACAGAAAATTTCTCTCAAACTATATCTAAGTCTAAACATTTTTCTGTACAGAGTAAAAAAATAAGTATTTTAGACTTTACAGGCAAGGCTGTCTCCATTGCAACTATTCAACTCTGCCTGTGGAAGCAGCCATAGACAGTAAGGAAATGAATGTGGTTCCAATAAAATTTTATTTACAAAAATAGGAGACAGGCTGGATTTGCCCACAAGTCATAGTTTGCCAACCCCTAGTCTGAATGAACTAAAAGTCAAATGTACCTCCTAAGCTGTTTACTAATACTAGACGATGCCAATATTACTTCTGGTAATTATTCTGTTTCCCTTTCCCTATTTAATACATTAGATGAGTAGTGATTTAATGTCATGATTTAATTATTTCCTTTTCTTACTTTCAGGTCTTTTGTTTCTTACACCATGATGGTAGTTGTGATAAATTTTATCGTGCCCTTGACAGTGATGTTTTACTGTTATTACCATGTCACTCAATCCATTAAACATCATGGTACTAATAACTGCACTGAGTACTTCAACAGAGATTGGTCAGATCAGGTAGATGTAACAAAGGTAAGGCAAAAATCCTTAAAAAAGTTTTTTAATCAAGCTTCTACATGGACATGGTTCCTTGGCCCTGTAGTCATCTCTCCCCAACTCCCAGTTCTTATTTTCTGACTCTTTTTTCTAATGTTGGCTTCCATATTTCTAAACAATATGCTTATCTGCTATTTCAGGTATTTTTGTTTGCTGCTACTTCTTGATTTCCTACTATGGAAAAAGACAGTTTCTCTTATAGCACCATCTTTTCCTTCTCCCCACAAACATCTCTCTCTCATCTTGTCAATAAAATGTTAATATTTGGCTAGATGAAGAGTCAATTTTACATTATTGTGATTATCTAAATTTCATTTATTGCAGATCTCTGTAGGGCTGTATGATTTATATTTCTTTTTTTTTATACAACTGTTCCCCCTTTGGAGTTAACAGTTCATTCCTTTTTTTTTTTCTTGTCTTCTGTCCGTCTCTCTCCCCTTCTCTTCTTCTCTCCCCCTCTCCTCCCCCTCCACACCCCATCTCTCTGTAGCTTTGTTTCCTGACTGTTCTGTGTGAAAATGAAGTGATTTTGGAAAGTGGAAGCATTACTCACTCAGTTGTGTCCAACTCTTTGTGACCCTGTGGACTGTAGCCCACCAGCCTCCTCTGTCCATGGAATTCTCCAGGCAAGAATACTGGAGTCGGTAACCATTTCCTTCTCCAGGGTGATCTTCCCAACCCAGGGGCTGAACCTGGGTCTCTTGCGCTGCAGGCAGACGCTTTACAGTGTGAGCCACCGGGGGACCCTGACTGCCCCGTGTGCCTGTCCCTGATCCATCTCTGACCCATCAGAAGCTGCGGTTTCCTCTTAGCATTTGCATAGGCATCGGAGACTAAACTGACTTTACCCTTTTCTTAGTTATCCTCCTGGCACCCCCAGATCTCTTGCTCCAGATTACACTGGCTCCTCTTTAAGATGACTACCTGGAAAGCCAGTGTCCCCACATCTCCTTTATCATAAGCTGAGAATGCCTTTGGCCTATCTCCTGGATCAGATCACCTGTTTTCTGGATTACATGTCTTCCTTTTTGTTTTGTTTTGTTTTTGTTTTTTTGGTTGATTTTCTCACAGTTGGTGGAACACATCCCTTGACAGAGTCCTGAGAATGTTATATGGAAGTAAAATTTTTAAGATTTGGCATGCCTGAAAATGTCTTAATGCTCTTATTCTATTTGATTGATTGTTCACTTGACATAGAATTCAAAGTAGAAAAATGATTTTCAGAGATTTTTGAAAGCATTACTATATAGTCTCTCAGTTTTAGGTGTTGCTGTTGAGGAGACTGACAGTTTACTGGTGGTCTGTGTTCTCTCTGGAAGCTTGTGATTTTCTCTGTGTCTCCAGTTTTCTCTCTGAGATGTGATGCTGATGTGCCTTGGTATAGCTCTTTATTCACCCATGTGCTGGATACTGGGTGAGTGCTTTCAATGTTGAGACTCAGATCTCCCCTTCTGGGAGCTTCCTTGCATTATATCTCTTGTGAATTTCACTTTCCTTTTTGTTTTCTCTATTCTCTTTTCCTGGAACTCTTTTTATTTGGGTATTTAATCTCCTGGACTTATCTTTTAATTTTCTTAAATATTCTCTCCTACATTGTCTCTCTTTGGGGTTTTGTTTGTTTGTCTTGGTTTCTACTTTCTGAGAGATTTCCTCAACCATGTCCAGGGCTGAGATTGGGTGAGGAGATGCTCAAGCCCAGGTTGTAAAATTTAAGCAAGCACTGAAAAGCTCAGAAACCCAAAAAAGGTAAATCCAGCTTTATTCTCCTCAGGTCACCAACAGAAAGAGGGCATTCTTTACATTCATGGACTGGTCCACCCATTTCACAAGCTCCAGTTATCATAGCTGACTTTAGGTACATTAGCAGAGTACAGTGAGGGGAAAATTTCAGTGTTTCCTCTGTCTTCAACATCATAAACTTATTCAAGTTCCAATCCAGATAATTTTTCATGCAGTTTTAGATATACTAGCTATTTTGATATTTTAGTTATTGGGCTTGGTGAATACTGATTTCTTTTACAGATGTCTGTGATAATGATACTCATGTTTCTGGTGGCGTGGTCCCCTTATTCCATCGTGTGCTTATGGGCATCTTTTGGTGACCCAAAGAAGATTCCTCCCTCAATGGCCATCATAGCTCCTCTGTTTGCAAAATCTTCTACATTCTACAATCCTTGTATTTATGTGATTGCTAATAAAAAGTAAGTCATGTCTAAAATACTTCTCAAGTAAAAAAAGAAAAGTATATACAGAGTAAAGAATGTTAGAAAGGCAATGGATAATGTTCTAAATTTTGGGGGGAGGTAAATGACAGAAACTCACTTCAGATGAAATTAAGAGTTATTTGGTTCATGCAACTGCAGAAGCATTCAGGATCTGAAATGTCTAGGACTCCAGTTCTTGACAGACTCTTCCCACATGGAGGTGAGATGATCATGAGTGATTCAAGACCAAGTTCCACCAGCTAAGCATCCCCAAATGCAAGTTTCATCTTTGATGGCCCTCTGGCAGCAATGACCCTGGAAGGTTGTTAGTGAGCTCAGCTTGGTTCCTATGGTTACCCTATTCAAAATATATGTAATCAATTTTGCAAAGAAAAGAGTGATTCTATTAGTGGAAAGTGGACAAAGCAAGGCTAGTTGGCTTCCCTACATGGGTAGCATAACTGTATATTTACTAGAAGGAAGACATATCATTCAGATGCAAGAGAAAAATTCATTGTTATCATAACAGGCTTCAGGATTGTGTAGTCACCGAGGATAATGGAGAATCTTCCTTTTCCCCTTTTGTTGAGCCTCTGAGCAAGGATTTCTTTCCTGCCTCCTTAGTGCTGCTTTTGTTGTTTAGTCGCTAGGTCGTGTCTGACCCTTTTGCGACTCCATGGGCTATCCATGGGATTTCCAGACCAGAATACTGCAGTGGGTTGCCATTTCCTTCTCCAGGGGATCTTCCTGACCCACGGATTGAACCTGAGGCTCCTGCTGAGTCTCCTGCATTGCAGGCAGTTACCCTTGAGCCTCTGGGTGGGGCAGCTTAGACTACTTCATTTCCTGTAACTGCTTAAAGGTGGATTGAACCAATCTACCTTGCTTAAATATTTGACCAGAAAGTCTCAGTAGATGTGAAGTACTGATAATTTGATTATGGATTGCCAGTGCTGCTTCTGTTAAGCTTATGTATTTATGAACATGTTTGGGAAAGCAACTTGAGCCACAAGTAGATGAAGAAACATAAAAACTTTTAAGATCAAACAGACCGCATAAGAAGAATAAAGAACACATCTTAAATTTAGAGTCTATTGGTAGTTCTTTTGGAAAGGTCAGGCGTTAAACTGGCCTTTGCTCATTAGAACAAATGTCTGAAATACCAATCTTTAGTTCAAGTAAATGATTCCTTGCAACTGACATTAGAAGTGTCATCTTAGACATAGTTATTGATTTTTAATAAATGTCTTCAATGTTTACAGTCAATGGTGCAAAATTGGTCTTTAATTGTACTGTATACTTTATAATACATTTATAAAGGGTCTCTGTAGGATATGTTAAAGTTGGAAGCAGAAATATATTTGGAGATGCTAATTGGCAGTAGTGGTATCTTAGTCATATTTGAAAGTTCTTTAAACATTCCAAGTCATCATGGGATAATGCCAGATTTTCCCTTTTGTATTATAGGTTTCGAAGGGCGATGCTTGCCATGTTCAAATGCCATACTACCCAAGCAATGCCTGTGATGAGTATTTTACCAATGGATATACCTCAAAACCCACTGACTTCTGGAAAAGTCTGAAATAAGAGGAACTCACACATTTATCAAAACATTTTCTTTTTTTTTTTGTTTGCAGTGGTTTAATTTCATTTTAAATGTGAGCTCATTTCAATCAAATACAGACATAGAATATTGTCTTAATAGGTTATAAATTTCTCAAGTGTAGTTTATAGTTCTTCTGTTTGTGCACTGGCTACCATTGGGAATGTTTCACTATTTCCTTATGTGTAAACATATTACTCATCTAGTTTGATGAATAGAGTCACATGAGATTAAGGCCTCTTCTCTTTCTCCTTATTATGGTATGTATTACAGTGTACCAATGACTTGCTGTCTTGCTTGGTTCCTCCACTAGATCAGAAGAAACTGCTATTTTAATTTTCAGTTCAGTTCAGTTCAGTCACTCAGTCATGTCTGACTCTTTGCAGCCCCATGAACTGCAGCACGCCAGGCCTCTCTGTAATTTTAATGTTAGAATAAATTAATAGTAATAATTGTTATTATAAAAAAAGCAAGCGTTCCAGAAAAACATCTATTTCTGTTTTATTGACTATACCAAAGCCTTTGACTATGTGGATCACAATAAACTGGAAAATTCTGAAAGAGATGGGAATACCAGACCACCTGACCTGCCTCTTGAGAAAACTGTATGCAAGTCAGGAAGCAACAGTTAGAGCTGGACATGGAACAACAGACTGGTTCCCAATAGGAAAAGGAGCACGTCAAGGCTGTATATTGTCACCCTGCTTATTTAACTTATATGCAGAGTACATCATGAGAAACACTGGGCTGGAGGAAGCACAAGCTGGAATCAAGATTGCNCCATCGTAAAGGAGATCAGTCCTGGGTATTCATTGGAAGGACTGATGTTGAAGCTGAAACTCCAATACTTTGGCCACCTGATGTGAAGAGCTGACTCATTTGAAAAGACCCTGATACTGGGAAAGATTGAGGGCGGAAGGAGAAGGGAATGACAGAGGATGAGATGGTTAGATGGCATCACTAACTCAATGGACATGGGTTTGGATGGACTCTGGGAGTTGGTAATGGACAGGGAGGCCTGGCGTGCTGTGATTCATGGGGTCCCAAGGAGTTGGACACAACTGAGCGACTGAACTGAACTGAACTGAATAATAGTTAATTAGCTTCCCTAGTGGTTCAGTGGTAAAGGACGTGCTTGCCAATGCAGGAGTTATGGATTCAATCCCTGGCTCAGGAAGATCCCCTGGAAAAGGAAATGGCAACTCACTCCAGTATTCTAGGAAACTCCAGAGACACAGTAGTCTTGGGGTATAGTCCATGGGGTCACCAAAGAGTTGGACATGACTTAGCAACTAAAAAGCACAACAGCAAATAATGGTTAATAGTCTTTAATAAATAATTACTAAGTTGTTGGAATTTATTTCCAGCTAGAATGGGAAACTGTCAGCATTTCACAGTTTTCAAATTTTAATGCAAGTATTCACTTACCATTTAACAAAAATAATGAATGAATATTAAGCACTATTGTTTTTAAATCATGTCAGTCAATGCCATATATATTTTATGTAACACTATAACCTGTGCATATTAATATGTGTTTTACTTTTTTAATTCCTATTTTTATGTGTATGTATTTCCATATATTTGACATTAGAATTAAGTTTAATCAGAGTGGGTGTTTCTGTATGTTTTTTTCTCTTTTTCCTGTCTTGTTTTGTTGATGAAAATATTAGTCAATAGTCAGTGTAAGAAAGGAATAGGAAATTTTATTCAAGCTAGCCTGAAGATTATAACCCAAGAGACGATCTTTCAGGAAGCTCTGAGGACTGTTCCAGAAAGGTGAATGGGGAGGCTGGAATATATTTACAATGAAGAACATATCTTGGTAAAAAGTTACTGCTTTTTCAAGGAATAGGTATCTTAGCTAATGTTTTTAGTTCTCTTTTAAGTATGGAAAGATGCAAGAAACTGGGTTCATAAAATTTTCTCCTTAAAATACATAACCATGTGAGAGTCAGTTCTGCCAGTTTCCCCAGAGCAAAAAGTGCCTCGTCCTGACCTTCACCCTGAATTCCTTTCAGGATGTATTGTAGGTCAATGACTACTGTGGCTAATGACTTGATTCTTGTAGAACTGGATAGTGGGCAACATTGTTTATTTTATAATCCCCTTGTTTGGGTAATAATTTTGACCAAGATTAGAGAAGGATTTTGTGACTCATTTGTCCCTCAGTGCTAGGAATGCTCATTCCCAGATCAGGCGGGGATTTTGTTGATAGGCCACTTGGTTTGCTGTTCCTGGACTAGGCCCTGTTAACAGCAACCAAAAGCCTCTGCACTACCTGTCTTACCAGTCTGTTATGGTCCAGGAACTGTTCCCTCTTGTTGGTTATCCCCGTATATAGACTTCCACTGTTACAATCCTTGATCTTATTACAGAACTATATATTTGGTCAATTGTTTTAAGTTCTCTAGTCATTATTACTTTTATCTGAGGCTCAGTCATACATCTGTTAATGCAGGAAACAGTAATCTGGTAAAACAGACTGAATTCAAATAATATAGCTAGTAACATTAATAAGGTCATAATAAGGTCATAAGCAAGTATTTAGGGCTTCCCTGGCAGCTCAGACGGTAAAGCGTCTGTCTGCAATGCGGGAGACCCGGGTTTGATCCCTGGATCAGGAAGATCCCCTGGAGAAGGAAATGGCAACCCACTCCAGTATCCTTGCCTGGAGAATCCCATGGACGGAGGAGCCTGGTAGGCTATAGTCCACAGGGTCGCAAAGAGTCGGACACGACTGAGCGATTTCACTTTCACTTTCAAGCAAGTATTTAAGCTAAGAATTTCCATTACGCGTGGCCCAGTATATCCCCAGGTCATCTGACCCAGTCTGTTCTGTACTAATTGTGGACCAATAATGGATATTTAAATTGCTGAAACATTCCCAGTGGTTCATCCACAACTCTAAGTATTGTGAATGAACCACTGGGAATACAGTTGTGGATGAACCACTGGGAATATTTTAGTACAAATACTTTTTGTGTGGGGAAGGCAAGGAGAAATTATTCTGAGTGTTTCCTCAGACTAGAATTACTGGATAAAAATATAGAAACAGTATTATTGTTGTGAGCTTGCTCTCTGAAAAGATTGAACTAATTTACATGGCCACTGGCAGTGAATAAATTCACTTTTCCCATTATACCCCTGCTAATAGTGCTGTCCATCCTAAAGGAGATCAGTCCTGGGTGTTTACTGGAAGGACTGATGCTGAAGCTGAAACTCCAATACTTTGGCCACCTCATGCGAAGAGTTGACTCATTGGAAAAGACCCTGATGCTGGGAGGGATTGGGAGCAGGAGGAGAAGGGGACAACAGAGGTTGAGATGGCTGGATGGCATCACCGACTCAATGGACATGAATTTGAGTAAACTCCAGGAGTTGGTGATGGACAGGGAGGCCTGGCATGTTGCGATTAATGGGGTTGCAAAGAGTCAGACACGACTGAGTGACTGAACTGAACTGAACTGAATAGTGCTGTACCAGTTTTTTAAAACTAAAAGCTATATACTTTAGCAAATTCATCTCATTTCACATTTTTTAACGCTAGTGAGGCTGTGTATCTTTGCATATTGTGTTTTCTTATGTATTTATTTTTGTAGGCTGTTTCTTTAGCACCTTTGACTGCAAATAAAGGAAAATCAGGACACTAAACCAAATATATACAACTACCCATGTATTTGGATTGGTAAACTGCTATAATCTGCTAATTTATTTCCCCATCCTCTGCCTTTCTCCACTGTAATCAATGTATCAGCTTTATAACTGGAATACTCTTCTTTTAAAAATAAAATTCCCAACCCCCAAATCTTCAGCTCTAAAAACCTTCAGTCAGTACTTCCCTGGTAGTCCAATGTCCAAGGCTCCTAGCCCCCAGGGCAGGAGGCCTGGGTTTAGTCCCTGGTCGGGGAACTGGGTCCCACATGCCACAACTAGGAGTTTCTGTGCTGCAGCTAAAAAGATCCCACAAGCCACAGCTAAAGATCCTGCATGCCACAACAAAGACTGCAGATCCCAAGTGCTGCAGCTAAGACCCAGCACGGCCAAAAAACTAAACGATAAATACTTTAAAACAAAGAATAAAAGTAATTTTTCCTTTTTTTAAAAAAAATGCACATATCTTAAACAACAAAAAAATCAGTCATCTGCCAAGTAACTATAAGTCTGTCAGTTGCACCCTCATGACCCTTTTCAACATGGTCCCACAGGGACTTTTCAGCTTTTGGTCTTACTTCCTGTGTGTGTGTGTGTGCCGTACATACAATCTGAAATGCTTATATTTCTCTAAGAACTACATGCTCTTTCTTGCTTCCTCCCTTTGTTCCTGCTGTTCCTCTGCTTGCCTCTTTCAGATTTTCCACTTAATACATTGGTGTGCCTCATAGGGGCATCTCAGGTACCACTTGCTCTAGGAAGCCTTTCCCCACCAATACTGTTGGGTCTGGTGATTTCTTGTGCTTCTTCCAAGTGTATTCTGTGCCTCTCTTTATCATGTAATTCCTTTTGTGTAGTGATCATGTCTCATCCATCTTTCTACCCCTCAGTTCAGTTCAGTCACTCAGTCGTGTCCAACTCTTTGCAACCCCATGGACTGCAGCACGCCAGGCCTCCCTGTCCATCACCAACTCCCAGAGTTTACTCAAACTCATGTCCATTGAGTCGATGATGCCATCCAACCGTCTCATCCTCTGTCGTCCCCTTCTCCTCTCACTTTCAATCTTTCCCAGCCTCAGGGTCTTTTCAAATGAGTTGGTTCTTTGCATCAGGTGGCCAGAGTATTGGTATTTCAGCTTCAGTATCTGTCCTTCCAATGAATATTCAGGACTGATTTCCTTTAGGATGGACTGGTGGGATCTCCTCGCAGTCCAAGGGACTCTCAAGAGTCTTCTCCAACACCACAGTTCAAAAGCATCAATTCTACCCTTACGACTTAGTTTAGTGCTTTGTACTATGTACTATGTACAAAGCACTGAATTCTTTTTTTTTCTTCCATTTATTTTCATTGGTTGGAGGCTAATTACTTTACAATATTGTAGTGGTTTTTGCCATACATTGACATGAATCAGCCATGGATTTACATATGTTCCCCATCCTGATCCCCCCTCCCACCTCCCTCTCCATCCCATCCCTCTGGGTCTTCCCAGTGCACCAGCACTGAATTCTTTAAATGCTCAGTAAATACTGAATGAGCAAATGAATTGTGCAGATTCTGAAACTTTCCAGTATTTTATTTTGAGAAAATTCATTTGATGCTGTTGTTTATGTGTATTATTAGTTTTAAACAGTGTTTTCCATAATCTTATTTTTATGGAATTAATTTTCTTTTAGAAAAGTTTTTTGATTTAAAGATGATGAATAGAACCATGTCAAAAGGAAGTTAAGTGCCTTATATATTTATTACCTGGATCCTTTTTTTTTCACCAGCCTTCACTTTATTTTATTTTTTTAAAATTTATTTTAACTGGAGGCTAATTGCTTTACAATATTGTAGTGTTTTTGCCATACATTGACATGAATCCACCATGGGTATACATGTGTTCCCCATCCTGAACCCCCCCTCCCACCTCCCTCCCCATCCCATCCCTCTGGGTCATCCCAGTGCACCAGCCCCGAGCACCCTGTATCATGCATTGAACCTGGACTGGCTATTCGTTTCACATGTGATAATATACATGCTTCAATGCCATTCTCCTAAGCCATCCCACCCTCACCCTCTCCCACAGAGTCCAAAAGACTGTTCTATACATCTGTGTCTCTTTTGCTGTCTCGAATACAGGGTTATCATTACCATCTTTCTAAATTCCATATATATGTGTTAGTATACTGTATTTGTGTTTTTCTTTCTGGCTTACTTCACTCTGTATAATGGACTCCAGTTTCATCCACCTCATTAGAACTGATTCAAATATTCTTTTTAATAGCTGAGTAATATTCCATGGTGTACATGTACCACAGCTTCCTTATCCATTCATCTGTTGATGGACATCTAGGTTGCTTACATGTCCTGGCTATTATAAACAGTGCTGCGATGAACATTGGGGTACACGTGTCTCTTTCAACTCTGATTTCCTCAGTGTGTGACCATTCCATTCCATGTTATGGGTATGGAAGTAGTTTTTTAAGTATTTAATTTTTATTTTTGAACAGAGCCTAATATATGCTAGCAGACAGGAGAATTGAGCTTCAGATAAGGTTTGATTGCTCATAACTTGGGAAGTTAGCTTGGAGAAAAATATGTTCTGGAACAAAGATGAAAACCTTCACTGAAAAATAAATGTGTTGGTCGTGGGCCTGCACTGCACAGTGAGGAGCTGGGAGCATCGCAGGTTGCTGTCTTACCAGAGTCTCAGTGCTGCTGTGACGGTGGTGAATTCAAGCATTTTGCCTAAAATATTCTAGGTACTGGACTTATAGTTTGTTTTGGGGGTTAAGCAGAACATGGCAATATTGATTAAATCAATTTTATGTTATGCACTTCTATCTTTAAAGCTAAATTTTATAAAACTGAATGTTATGCATGCTGGTAGAAAGCAAAAAGTAAAATTTATAATGTTTAACACACAAGTAATCTATAGTATTTTCTAACATCTGATAAGATATTGAAGCATTTTGAACATTATGTGTTTCTTCAAGGTATAGTAGCAATACATCTAAGGAAAAGGGATTCAATAGGCATTTCCTGGCAAATTTAGATATGAGAAATTATTGAAATTTTCTTGATACTTGTTTGATTTTTACTTCTCTTAGAATGTGTTACTTTGCTGAAACCAGTTTCAAAGTCTAGGCGGATTGATCCTCTGCAAGCTACACTTGAAGGTTAAGTAACTACAGATCTCAGCTAATCCTGTGTAATCTGCTGTTACTAAATGGCCATTTGTATTCCTGGCGCACCAGTTTCTGAATGCTTAGGATTTGGTTTTTACCTTTTGTCCAAATAACCTCTAAAAGGAGCCATGCATCTCTTTGCAAGTCTGTGCATTGCGCTTAGCTTTTTGGAGAGAGTGAGCTGTTTATGTCCTTCACAGTGCACCTGTGATTATCACGGCAGAAATGATGGCCTGGGATCAAGGTATGCTTCTCTCCTTGCTACTCAGTGTTCTAATGATTCCGAGGAAAAGGACTCAAACCAGATGGCCTTGTTTTGAAAGCAGTTGCCTCTGCTCAGAAATCAGAGAGGAGGCTTAATTTAGATAAGCTTTAATGTAATTGTGTTAATCCTGGTTGCCTACTCCATTGTGAGCAGTTTAACTCCTTCAAAGCCCCTCAAATTATTTGAGACTCTCAGACACATTGTGTTACTAAAATATTCATTGTACTTGTATTCACACAGTGAGCCTTGCAGGAGGTCAAACCACTGAGATTTGTGTGGGCAGTTCAATCTGGTTATGGAAAGCAAAAGGGGGCAGGGCTGATCGGAAGGTGTGTGACATGCCCAGATCGTTTGCTTCCAGGGTTTTCCCTTTCATTTTGAGGATTATTTACTCAATTGAATAGACTTTAAGAAGTAGGAAGGACGATCACATGAGTGAAATTAGAGACGTTTGTAATCAGAATTTTTCATTTTAAGATGTTAGAGTTTGAAAGAAATGGGTCAGCGTTTTGTGTTGGACACTGTGGGACCTTGCAGAAGTTACTTAACCTCTGTGTTTCTTTAATATATGCTTGTGAAGTGAGAACAAGTGTTTGTTTATGATATGCATGAGTCCTTTCAGATAGAAGTTAAATACAAAACAGAACTCTTATTGGCTAAACATAGTAAACTTTTTTTTGAGAGAGAATTTTTAATAACAAAATCAGACTTTTTGCGTGACTCAGTTGAAGTGAACAGTGAGCCTCAAAGTAATTTGTTAAAAGAATCGCTCAATTTATGTCTTACAAATTTATACAAGTAATAATTAATACATATTTTTGTATAATTTTTCATGCTATTTTATAAAATTTACTAACTCCTGGTGTCTGAGATATTCACTCAAAGTGGTTAAAGACAGTGAGAAGAATGTAACAATTTAAGACCTACTTGGCAAAAGATATACTGCAGTTAATGACTCAGATCAGACTACCTTGCAGAAAATAGTAACAGAAGTGTTTCCTTCTTCACGGTGGCCCCATTATTGATGCATTTTATAAAAATCATAGCATGTTATGCCTGATAAGAACTCCAGAGATAATCTAGTTTGACCACTGTCATTTTTTGGATAAATAAATCCTATAGACACGAAATGGCTTGTCTGAGATCAAAGTGTTGAATTGTTGCAGTGACTGGCTGGCAGTCTGGGTCTTTTAGCTTCCAGTCAAGGCTTTTTGCAATACAATGCACTGGAATGCTGACTTAAAGAGAAGCGGGATCATTCTGGTATAAAGTACACTGAAATTTGTGATTCAGAATAGAGATGAAGAGGTATGCCTAGAGAATTCCAATGATGCATAGGCACTTCTCCTAAAGAGAGGAGATGAGGCAACCAGCACATTGCTTATGCTGCTTCCTTCTCTTTACATCATGGGCTGGCTTTAAAAATTCACTGATTTAATGTGATGTGTTTTACTGAATGGCTGTTTTATTGTTACTATTTACTACATGTGTAATGTATCATAATTCAGTTGATGCTTTATATTAATCATTTTCAGCAATCTGGTGGAGCTGAATATATAATGGGAGATAAATAGGTCTTTTTTTTCAGGTTTAAATGAATCTAAATTTTCTGATTTTTCATACTTTACACCCACATATGGACAGGCTTGTTTTCCTATGCCTGTTTTTCTACATGCCACAAACAAGATCGTGATGTCATTTGCTCAAGGTCACTTAAATTGTGAGAGGTAAAAAAAAATAAACTTGCAGTTAATTGGTTTATTTCTTAGGCTGAAAGCAATGTAATGGTCACATTGTTAAAACAGAGCTTGATTTTAGTCATCCAATATGAACATTTGCCATTTCTTTCCTCCCTTCCCTCCTTTCTTTCTTCCTTTCTCTTGTGCTCCTCTTCATAAGCATCAATTTATAACTTCAGTAGGGGATTCTTTTAAAATGGGGCATTTCCTAAAGAAGTTTAGAGTGTGCACTTTGGAGCTGGATAGATGTGGGTTTGAAAGGTGGTTGTGTAACCACTAGCTCTGTGACTCTGGCAAGTTACCTGATGTTGATGGGCCTCAGTTATTTTATCTATAAAAATGTGACTGATGATAATAATAGCAAACACCTACTGAGTGCCAAGAAGGTGTAAACTTTTTCATCCATTTCAATTACTCACCATAAGAGTACCATGTGGGAAAATGAGCTGAGACTGGTGAAGTGGCTTTCCATGGCCACAAAGATGATAGAGCTTAGAGTCAAACCAAGACCAGATTGACTCTAGAGCTGGTACCTTTACCTATTCCCTAATATCAGTTCATTGGCCTGTTGTGATGATTAAAAAGGGGTGGAATGTGATGTATATTGCACAGTCCTGACACATAAAAAGTTCAGGTTTAGTCACATGAAATTAAGGATATTTGATGGTTCTTAAACTGCAAAAATGGCCATTTCATATGGTTCAACCTAGAAGAAGGTGATGAGGATGACTATTAATGAGCATTCAGCTAGGCTGAATGGATACTTCGTGCAAACCAGTAGGGAACGAAAAATTCTATGCATATTTCAAATAAGTATTACTTTTCTCAACTGAACCTCAGAAAACAAATTTCCTTCCATTGCTTTGTGACACTAGGGTGGTGCTATGTAATGACCTTGATATGAATGAGTTACCTACAAACTTTCCCGTGGACACTGTGAAGCTTCGCATAGAAAAGACCGTTGTCCATACGATACCTGCCGAGGCCTTCTACTACCTGGTGGAGCTCCAGTACCTCTGGCTGACTTACAATTCTGTGGCCAGCCTTGACACCAGCAGCTTTTACAACCTAAAGCATCTGCATGAATTGCGCTTGGATGGAAATTCTCTGACTGCTTTCCCTTGGACATCTCTGAGGGACATGCCCGGCCTGAGGACCCTGGATTTGCACAATAACAGAATAGCCAACGTGCCAAACGAGGCAGTCAGGTACCTGAAGAACCTCACCTACTTGGATTTATCAAGCAACAGATTAACCACACTACCACCAGATTTCCTGGAAAGCTGGTCCCACTTGGTAACAGCATCATCCAGAAGCCTGGACCTTCCACCAAGAAGAATTATTCTCGGTAAGCTCACAGCCTCTGGGCTTTTCCGGTCCAGACGGTTTGTTCTGTGTACCTGCTTCAGTTGTCCACTACTTTTGCATCTATTGAATTTGGTGTTTTACTCTGTACTTGCACTTTTGATGGAAGAGTACCTTATCATTTGACTGAGGTCAGTTTATCGGTCTGCCCTGTGTAAGGTATAATGACTCTTTTTGTGACTGTATACGTGCTCACCATGTGTGTATGTGTATGAGCGTGAGTGGATCCATGTTTGTGGACTGAGGGCAGCAAGTGTTTGTGTGTGCGTGTGAGGGGAGGGAAGGAAATTTGCCTCATAGACTGAGAGACAAATGCTGCTCTTAGAGAACCTGGGGAAGAATGAGAGAATCTATCAACCCGCTCTGATTCTCATGAGCACATCAGTGCTCCATACTCTGCCACAACTGATCTTTTGTTCTGGTCTCTTTTCAGCCCTTTATCAGGGTCTTCAGGAGTGAGGGAAGGGCATCTGCATCTTTATTTAGTAGCAGTGGTTTAGTCGGTTAGGAAGTATAGCTTCCAGATGTGTGTATGTATGTGAGTCGCTCAGTTGTGTCCAGCTTGTTGTGACCCCATGGACGACCCCACGGACCAGGCTTCTTTGTCCATGGGGTTCTCCAGGCAAGAATACTGAGTGTGTATCCATTCCCTTCCCAAGGGATCTTCCCAACCTAGGGTTCGAAGCCAGGTCTCCTGCATTGCAGGCAGATTCTTTGCCCTCTGAGCCACCAGGAAAGCCCTGTAGCCTCCATATATTCTTAATTAAAAAACAAACAAATAATCTAAACCCCAGTTATTGTACTGACCCTATATGGGTCTCCTGATGGATTTAATCTCTTAGTTTAGCTGTGATTAATCTTGTGTATTTTGATCCTGAATTTTTTTAGATTCTATGGATATTTATCTTGGATTCTTAACACATAAACTCCTTCTAGCAAGCCCTTCTCTTCTTTTTGTTTGTCTTCCTACAGTGCTTGCACAGTGCTCTGGTGAATGCCCAGTAAATGTGACTGCCCCGTTGAAGTCAGTGAACTGAGACCCTTCTCAACAGTATCTGTGGGCAGTGAGGCCTTGTCCTGCTTTTGTGTGAGACACAGACCTGAAGCTTTGACAAAGCAATTTAAGTTGCTAAAGTTTTGTTCACCCCATAAGGCTTTTTTGAATTGTACAAGATATGTTCATCATGGCTGCAGAAGAAGTTTTAATTCTCAGAAAAATGAAAGAAATTTTGAGTGTTTGGTCAGTGAAATGACTTATAAGACTTTTGAATGAGAAGCAACTGGATTCCCAGAAATTGTGCCAGAAATTTCTACTGACCAGTATCACTTGCTAAATATTTTCTGAAATAAAGTATAAATGAAAGATAAATTTGATATTTTCTATAGACAGGAAAGTACTATGTATTTTATAATAATTGTAAATGGAGTATAGCCTTTAAAAATTTTGAATCACTATATCGTACACCTATAACATATAGTATCTCAACTACACTTCAATAAAAAGTGTTTTAACTGGAAAAAAAAGAAATACTGTGACAGCACTTAAATGGCTTTAGCATTACTTTTGTTGAGATGTATATGCATTTTGGTGCTTATGAAAGTAAAAATATTTTCTCCATAAGAACCAAATAGAGAAAAAGTCACAAAATTTCTCTTGCACAGCTGTTTCATGTTTTGACCACTATCTATCCTTCAGATATTTTTGTTTATATAATAAGAGAAGCATTTTAGGGTGGGTTGGAGAAAAAAAATTGGTTTAATTTAGCAATAGTTGTGGACTCTTTAAATATTAATATATATACTGTGATAGCCATGCAAAACCATACTGTAGTACTTAATTACTTTATTCTAGTGACTGATTTGATTCTTATGAGTAACACTAATGGCTAGAAATTTTCATAACTTAAAATTCCATAACATTGGAATTTTATTTCACTATGTATTTTTAAAAGTTTCTTTGAATGCAATTCCTGATTCTAATAAAATTACCCAATGGAGATATAGACTAGAAAATAAAATCAAATTACTAAATGGCTATTAATAGCTCTCTAAAGATTAGTTCCTAATAATATGAAGAAATAATTTTATAGAACATTAATATTTTCCTTTTTTCTTTCCTTGCCTTTAGAGTCAGATCCACAAAACATCACTTAGACCAAAGTCAGTGAGGTTATCACCTGTATTTTCTTCTAGAAATTTTATGGTTTGAAGTCTTATATTCAAGTCTTTAATCCATTTTGAGTTAATTTTTGTGTATAGTGTAAGGTAGTGGTCTAGTTTCATTCTTTTTCATGTGGCTGTCCAGCTTTCCCCACACTACTCACTGAAGAGACCGCCCTGTCTCCTGTTCATGTTCTTCCGTCCTTTGTTGTCAATTGTCTGCACCCGTGTGGATTGTTTCCAGGTGCTCAGGTCTGTTCCTTTGATCTGTGTGCCTGTTTTTGTGCTAGTGCTATACTCTTTGATTTTTACAGCTTTGTAGTATAATTTGAAGTCAGGAACCACAATATCTCCAGCTTTTTTCTTTCTCAAGATTGTTCTGGCTATTTGGGATCTTCTGTGGTCCGATACAAACTTTAGAATTATTTGTTGTAGTTCTGTGAACTGTGCCACTGGAATTTTGATTAGATAGCATTGAATATATAGATTGCTTTGGGTAATATAGTTATTTTAAAAATATTAATTCTTTCAACCTATGAGTATAGTATATCATTCCATTTATTTTCATCATCCTCAATTTCTTTCATTAGTGTCTTATAGTTTTTAGTGTACAGATCTTTCATCTTCTTAGTTAAATTTATTTCTAGATATTTTATTCTTTTTGTTGCAATTATAAATGGGATTGTTTTCTTAATTTTTCTTTCTGATTGCTTGTTGTTAGTGTATAGAAATGCCACAGATTTCTGTATATTGATTTAGTATCATGTGAGTTTATTGAATTCATGGTTCTTTTTTTGGTGATTATTTTTAGTGTTTTCTATATATAGTTTCATGTCATCTGCAAATAGTGACAGTTTTTCTTCTTCCTTTTTAGATACAAGTGCCTTTTCTTTCTTTTCCTTTTTTTTTTGCCTAAATTTTTTGGCTAGGACTTCCAGTATGCTGCTGCTGCTGCTGAGTCGCTTCAGTCCAGTATAGTGTTGAATAAAAGTGGTGAGACTAGTGCTTGCTTCAGCAGCACATATACTAAAAGTGGTGAGACTAAGCATCCTTCTCTTGTTTCTGGTCTTAGTGGAAAGCTTTCAGCTTTCCATCCTTGAGTATGATGTTAACTGTGAGTTTGTCATATATGACTTTTACTATGTTGAGGTACATTCCCTCTATACCCATTTTGTTGAGAGGTTTTTTTTTTTGGATCATAAATGGATGTTGAATTTTGTCAGATGCTTTTTTTGTATCTATTGAGATGATCATGTGTTTCATCCTTAAATTTATTAAATGATATATTACACTGATTAAATTGTGGATGTTAAACCATCCTTGCATCCTTGGAATAAATCCCACTTGATTATGGTATATGATCCTTTTACTGTATTCTGGGATTTGGTTTGCTAATATTTTATTGAGGAACAGTGCAGATTATTTAAAAACTTACACAAGAATACTTTTAGTATAACATTAAATTTATGTAATTTTAAATAATGCATGATCATGAGTACTTTACAATTTGCAAAGAAAAAGACTAAAAGTTATACTAATTGATTAACTGTTCTCTTTGACATCTTTCTGCTTTTCTGTATTTTCAAAATGTGCTACAATGATCATACATTATTTTTTATAATCATAATAATAAGCAACAAAAGATATTTTGAAACATGTCCAGCCATGTGTGACAGCTGACCAAAGCAAAGTCATGACTGCTGCGTAACAAAATGGGGAAAGAAGTGCTACCCCCTGAAAAGAAGACTAGTCCATGTATGCGCATCACACATGGAAAACTCAGTTTTCACATCTGGAAAATGGAGATAACAGGATTTACTCCATCTTGCTAATAGAAATGTAATGAGAATGCAGTTTACGTGACAGTCCTTTCGAATATAACTGGACAGTTTCTGAGGCTATGATTTTAGATCAATAACAATCCATAGCAGTTGTGACTGAGATGTGAGTATATTACAAAGAAGGACTTCTCTAGTTTGACTTTTTTGTTAGTTTAACTGTAATGTACCTAAGTCTTCCAATTTAATTGTTAAAACATGGCAGTGAGAGCCAGCTCTAGATTATTTAGAACTCAAGTGCTTAACTGTAGCAATTATATCTTTCCAGGTGCCCTGTAGAATTTCTTTTGTACTATTACAGTGGGATACATTATCTTTTCATTTCATTTTTATCACCCTGTGTTTATTGTTGTTAATGGATTCTATTTATAATAGTAATAGTAGCTAATACCGGTGGATGCTAGGCCAGGCCTAGTTCTTATAGTTCATGGATGTAACCTCTTCTAATCTCACATTAACCCCATGATAAGTACAGTTTCATCCCTATTTTATAGATGAAGAAATGAGGCATAGTTAAAACACTTGCCCAGATTCATTTATTCCATAGTGATGGAGGTAGGGTTTGAATACAAACCATTTGGTTGTAGAACCCATGCTCTTCCCCACTGCTTTGTAATGCAAGGTATGTAGTAGTACCAGAGTTATTTTCCTTGTATATATTATTTTACTGATCTATTTAAATTAAATATTTATTTAATAAAAAAGAATTTAGGGAGAGGCTTTTCAGTTACTCCATTTCTCCTCTGTGTGAATAAAAATATCAACCTAATGAAATTGTCCTTTAATGTAGTTATAAAAATGTAAAGTAGTGTCCTGCAAATAAGCATTTAAATTAACTGTGAAACTAGATTGATTTGCAGTACAGGTAAATTTCCATGACCTCTTCCTCAAGAATAAAGAAATATTTACACAGGCAAAGTCTGTAAGGCCTAACACTGTTTATCTTGGAGGAAAAACTCTGTAGTAGAAGAGTATAAATTGCTTT